AAGTTAGAAACCTGCATCTTTCGCGGTGCCCCGCATCGCAGGCAGCAAATGGTGTCGGCTCTCCAGGCGTCCCTCTACTGAAGCTCTGGTTTAACAATGTGCCAGGCTGGGAAGGGTTAAAAGCGGAACAGAGCCCCAAGCTTTGAACTAGACAATTCTTGGAAGTGTTCTTTCGTACCTTTCTTTGTCATCTTTACTAACAGATGAGTCTCGTTTATCTACATCTCTATCTCTGTCATGAGCTGCAGCAGATGAACTGCGCTCCAGCTCTCCTGGCTTCAGCCAGGGCGGAGGGGTCGGGAACGAAGGAGGAGTTCGGTGCAGTCGGTTCCAGGGCTCGTGAGGGTTGCTAAAGCTCTGCATACTGGGGCCATCCTTGTGGCCGAACACTGAGTTGGGTGCTGAAATGGTGAAGTGGAAAACAAAAAGGTTTAAGAAAAAGGTATGCTCTAGTGAAGGTACTTACCAAAAAAACTTTTACAGCACTCAGAGTTAAAATGAATACATATTATTGGGAGCTGGAAAAGGAAAGGAAATTAACAGAGATTCATTAGAGGGTCTCATTCCTAAAAAATGGGCAGGCATCTGACAGCTGTTTTAATTGGAAAGGGAAATGCTGTGGATAAAATTGACAAGGGATGAAGCAGTAAGAGAAAAGTGACAATGATCCTTAATCCAAATATTTTGGAGACATCAGGAAATGACCATTATATGGACTATAAATAATGGAACTTGTTGTATTTGATCCTGAACCAAAGTAAAATAGTATGTGACCAAAATCATGCCAGATTTGAAGCATGGAGAAAGGGAGTGATTTTTAAAAAGGATTATCTTTTGTGACTAGCCAAATCTAGAGAAATGTTGATGATCCTGGACAAACAAATGCATCGATGCAGGTTAGTGATCTCTTCCAGGCACATGTCCTGGATTATTGGTGAGAAAGGAAAAAAAAATAATGTTCCCATCCACAGCTGGGGATGCTGCACACATTTAACTATTTTTGAACATGCAAAACCAACAAAATCATAAGAAATTTCACAAACTCCTTAGACTCATAGGTTCTATATTCTTGGGGTTCTTTTTTCTTTACTGAACAATGTAATGGTGACATTTAGCGCTACGCTGAACCCAAACTGTTAAATAACGAATACAAAATAATTTACTGCTGACTAAAAAATGCTGTTGTTTAGATGCAAAAGGTCACTTTCCAAGTTCTCATCTCCTAGTGGTATGTGGTCTAAGCAACTGGTAAAGACATCAAATAGTCACCATCACTCAATGTCCTGAATTACAGAGCAAACAAGAATTCATAAACAAAGAGGTTACTCACTAACTGTCGGGTTGCCGAGTCCCCCGAAGGCGTTGCTACCCACGGCGGTGAGGCCGCTGAAGGAAGCCGGTCGATTGAAAGGCTCTGCAAACCAACAGAAACAGCTGAACCTCGCTGCCATGGTGGGAATTATGATAAAGCAGGAGTGTGTTATCCAACCATGTTACATCTGCATGAAAGCTCAGGCTGTGCCCATCTGTGGTTGAACATCATCATCTCACAACACAGTGGTGACTGTGAGGGACTGCGGCATAAAAACACATTTTTTTTTTTTCCCTGGGATCATTTTACTAGAAAAACTTCCTCTTCAAACAAAAACAAGATGTTAAAATCTACACGGTATCGATGCCTGTACTTCTGCATAAGTAGCTACTTCATTTAAAACCTGCAAACATCTTCATTTTTATTTCCTTTTATTCCCCTTCCAATTCAATTCCATAGTCTTTCTCAGGAAATGTCTCTGGCTAGCAAGACTATTATTAACTCTGGCAACTGTGCTCCAAAACACCTTCAGGCCACATCTCCGAAACCATAGCCAGGATATAAATAAAATGTCCTATTATACCGATATGTCATGCTGACCTTCACATTTTGTAACTCTCTTGATATTTATTGCTAATGCTATAGGAAAAACTAGTACAGACTGAAAAATATTGGAATAATTTTTTTAGTAGTCAATGCATACAGACTATAAGTAAGTTGTATGAAGCAAATTCTCCTCTCACTTTACTTTGGAGAAGTCTAATGATTTTGATGAAACTACTTCTGATAAATACCAGCACAGAGGAAAGAAAGACCAAACCTAGCATTTTCTATAGGCAGCTAAATGCAGAATGATACACCTACATCACGAGTCTGCTGTATCAATTTGGGGACCCTCCCAAATCCTTCCCTGTGCAAAATAAAATGCCCATGTAAAGTCTTGATCTCATGCTCCTGGAGGCTGCAGATCACCTTACTACAACATCGGTAAGTTAGAAGGGAAATAACAACATCTGGTAACTTGAGTGGTTCCGTTTTTAAATGTGTATTCACTAATTTTCAGTGACAGACAAATTGAGGCCAGATCACAAAACTTTAGGGATATATTTCCCACTCACTTAAATGGAGAAGCGGACATCTAAGTAGGAGTTAGGAAAAGAAACAACTTTATGAACCAAAGTCTTAACCTCAAGGCACTTTTTGTGACTGGTTATAAATGTGACTACAGTGAAACCTAACCAGCCCTGTCACTCTGCTCCTCCAATGTCCAGACTGTTTCCAGAAGTATTTCAAAACATGCTGTCAGTGATACTATTACGTGTATTTAGAACTGCTACTTGGGTAATGACTAAAATTAAATGGTTAAAATGTGCAATTTGTAAAGGTTAAGTAGGCAGAAGACTGAAAAGTGTCTCCACATGGGCAACCTTTAAAGGTCTCAATGGTCATAGAATCACAGAATGGTCTGGGTTGGAAGGGCCCTTAAAGCTCATCCAGTCCCAACCCCCCTGCCATCAGCAGGGACACCTTCCACTAGACCAGGTTGCTCAAAGCCTCATCCAACCTGGCCTTAAACACTTCCATGGAGGAGCAGTCACATGGCCAATGTGTTACTTCGGAGTTGTATTCACCGTTAGTTGCAGGGAGAACATACCTAAGTGAGCAGCTGGGTTGAGAAAGTTGCTGTGGTGAGGTGGTGGGCCGAACGGGGTGCCAGCTGGATGACCCCCACCTGCCAAAACAAAGCAGAAGAGGTGAATTCCTACCAAAAAAGCTCAGAAGGGGCCTCACTGTGCTCTGGGCTTGACTACCACTTCTTAAACAGCAGCTCACACAGCAGAGACTGCTGTGTACTGGGCAGGGCCTCTCAGGTCAGGATCCTACACAAAAAGCAGCTGCTTTTCTAAACAGAAGTTCCCAGAGAGTTGAGGGGGTGGGGGAAATGTTTCAGTATGGAAAAAAAAAGGAGTATGTACAATACAGTGTATTTCCAACCTGTCATCTCCATGAGGCATCAGACATCACTGTGTGAAGAAATGTTCCTCCATTTACTACCTGTATGGCACTTCAGCACGTGGGGCTTTTTTAAAAACGTACAGATTAATATTAAAATTTTTATCAAATTGACTAATAGCCCCTGGCACGTCTTGTAGAGAGTTCATAAGCCAAAGCATACGGGAAATTTCCTCCTAACACAGCAAGGATTACCATTTTAACGGGCATGCCACAAGAATTCACTTCTCAGTACTCACTGGCTGTGGAGAAGAGAGTCGAGGGCCGGGCCAGGTCATGGGGGTGGTGGATGGCTCCAAAAAGGCTGGGGCCTGGTGGCCTGCTCAGAAATTCAGGTTTCAGGCCAAAGTCCAGCTTGTGCGGATCAGACTGCATCTGTTTCTGAAATGTAAAAACAGGATTTGGAAGAGACTGCCCCAAAAGTCAGCAGTAAGACACACTTGCAGAATGACTTTTACCGAAGTCTTCAGAATTTATTCACATTAACTGACACTTTAACAAGAATATTGTTTTTTGGGAACCTGAGCAGAAGTGCACAGCTGTTTTCCTGGAAGGGGGATCTAAGGCAGGGAGAGAAAATCTCAGGCTCCCAGTGCACGTTTCCTGCAAATTTCAACAGTGTTTTCACACACGCTCACGTCCATCCTTCTGGAGCAACACATTTCAGCACAGACCCGGCTTAAAGAACAAACATAAAAATCTCTGAAGAGGCCTCAGACACTGGCTTGGCTGTAAGAATACGTCTGTCTTCAAATCATAAAAGCAAAGGTGAAGAGAAATGTTAGTTTGGAGCTGATCCCAGGCGGGCAGGCCTGTTAAAGCTGGGTGAGAGCACCAGGCGCGGCTGCCAGCTGACCTCCTCCCACTGCAGGAGTTCCCTTGCCAGATGGTTATGGCAGAAACAAGTCAATGGTCACCAGAACCATTAATTTGAAATGTGAAGCTGCAATCTAGACACACTTGATGCAGTGGATGTTCCACTGCCTCTCAGACTGCAACTGAGCAATCTAGGGACTAAAATGCATCAAATTACAGATGAAGCGTATCTGAGCCTCAAGAACCGAGGCACTCCAAGCACTGTATGTCGCTGGCTTTATTTATATGATCTTAGAATCATCAGACTTTCTTTTTTTAAAGGTAAATTTGCTGAGGTAGCTGTATCATAAAGGAGAAGTGGATGAAGGATGGGCTCTTCTTTGTGCCATGTACTCATTTCAGTGGTCCCTACTTCAGTAGTTTTATAGAATGAAGAGGAAAACCAAATTCCCAATTACCTGTGCTGCCAGAACTCCCTAAACACAGATTGGTGATTAATTGTGCAGGTCAGCTGAAAGGATTTACGAATGTGTTAGACTGAACCAGTAGATCTCAACAGTAATTCTGGAGCATGTTACGCTTTATAAATCAGTATTTAATACTGTGCTAGCTCAGAGTACAGACTATTACAATGATATAAATATGCATATTAAAAAGTTATGGTCAAATTAATGTGCATGGCTAGTAGCTGTTTTTCAAGTGCTAGTAACATGTCTCTATTGCTATCAGAACAACAACAAAAAAAAAGGCTTTATCAATGTTTTCAGCTAATGGCCTCCAAGAATATTGAAATGGAAAAGGTGGCCAAGCTCAGGTCCTGTCTTTTAAGGAAGTAACACTGTACTGCTTTAATAATTAGAAAAGTTCAGAAAATACAAATGCCTCAGTTGAAGCCCGTGTGCCAGATTTTTATACTGTGAACTATTTTTTATTCTTCTTTTTAACAATCAAGTTATAAACCTCTGACAGGCATTACTCAGAATACCAAAAGCTGGCTGAAGCTTTAATTGCAGCCATAGGAACAGTGCTGTTCTAATAATGAGCAAATCTCCTGTCTGAAGAGGAAGAGGAATATCATAGATGTGTTGAAAGATTTTTAAATGTCTTCGTTTACCTTAAAATAGTACCAAAGAAAATGGATCAGATTTATTTCATCCCCAGTTGCTGCTCAGGAGAGCACACCTCTTGATGATAATCCTTACGGATGTATTTGAAGTCCAGCAAATATGTTAACCTTAATTCAGGGCCCACTAAAATTAATGTGAATGTCTGCACTAATTTCATGGCATGTTAGATCTGGCCATAAGGCCTTTCCTAAAAGAGAGAGGGCCAATTATGGAGCGTAAATTCTCTCCTGAATCCTGGCCAGTAACGCACTGGTCAGCCTAAGGAGGAGTGGAAAATTGCTTTGTGCCCAGAGCTGATATGCAACCCTGGCTGCATCCGAGGAACTCCCTGGGCGTGCAGACAGGTTACACAGGTCTGAACTGTGTCTCAGTGCAGAGGTACAGGCAGGCAAACAGAATCCACAGCTGCATGCAATTTTTCCTGAGATCAGCAAGGTTGTGTTTCAAAGTTTCCTTTCTTGCCTGTTTCTTCAGTGTCCGCTGTTGCCCTCTGCAAGCAATTACTGGTGGGCCAGATAGTTACCAATTCCTCCATCCTTTGCAAGCAGTCTGGTGGCACTGCATGCTGACTTGAAATCTCTCAGTAAATACATTTTATTCACTGCTCTACAGTCAGGCAGCGTCTTCAGCTTGTGTAGAAAGAAGAAAAGGCACCTTTACAACCTTGGGCTCGAAGGAGAAATTGGTCCGCACAAGCCCTCAGCCAGAGATTTCACACTTCATGGTTGCACACAGAGGGGAGGACTTCATTCCCGTGTGGGAGTCTGGCAACCCACGGGGACATAAACCAACTCGCCTTACTGACTGTCGACCATACCTGATTTTTTGACTGAACTGAGATAGTGAAATACATTTCCCAATTATTCTTGCAATTATCATCATGCACAGCCTCAAAAAGTCAAGTAACATCCCTTCCTGTACTTCTGGGCTTTATTCCTGTTTTTTAACACGCAAGACTGGAAAGTATTAGGCTGGATGAAAATGGCATTTACTATGAGTTATAAATACACCAGTATGACCTCTCTCTGAATATCAAATCAAGGAAGATTCAAAGGACATAGATAGCATGGGAATAATAATTTCATTTCAAGAAAATACCTTTTCAATAAAATAAAAAAAAAGGACATATAACTCTCTAGGTCTATAATCTTGTCTTTTTTGATAATGGGAAGATGAATGAAGATCACTAGCAGGGGAAACATAAGGAAGCAGAGAAGAGAGATATGTCTACTGCAGCAAATTAACCTGTCAACCTTGTTTAAAAGGGTTATTTTTAAACTCTATTAGCTGCAGGTTTTAGTAGCTGTTCAACATCTTCATATTCTTACAGCCCTACCTTATACAATTCAACTGCACACACAGACTGCAAAGTGCTATGGACTCCTTGGTAATGGTAGTTTCTAACACAAGCTATTGACTCCTGAATTACAAGTATGAACAGCAAAGCACACCAGCCTTTCCTGATTACTGAAAAACTTCAGCACCAACACAGAATTTTTCAGTGACAAGTACAGTAAAAATATCATAAAGGGGAAGAAACCTTCACAGAGTCCATGTACAGAAAAAATACAGTTAAAATACGAATGGAAATACCCAAACTATTAAATGAATAAATTACTTGGCTTTCTGTGACATCTGTTTCAGGAGAGCCTGAACTGGCCATGACCCTCACCCCTGGCCTCAAAGCCTGTAACAAAGATTTCCACCCCTTTACCTTCGCTGCAATGAGACAGTGTCTGGATAACATTACGTCAGCTGTAAGGCTGTGTCTGCCCCACCAGCCCAAACACGTACAGGTGCCAACCTCCAGCTATGAAATGGGTTGTGAAGAAGAATGATGGGAGCCTGTGCAGCCACATTGGATAAAGCATTGTAGGGACAGGAAAAATCTCCCTGTGCCCTCTTCTGTCTGTGAACATTAATAAGAGGAATGGGATACACATGCCTAGCTTCTCTAGACCTAAAACTATTTAATCTTGATATGTTTCTGTCCTCAGCCATAAATAAAAGCAATGCCGTAGCTCACAGGCACACCCATTTAGCTCTTTCTAGCTACAAACTGGTTGTTATCACCTAAGATCTGGTGTCCTTGCTCCGCAGCACCACAGACATTCCTTTGAGACTCGACCTTTAGGTTTTTAATTTCGATATGCCATCGGTATGAAAAAGGAAGTTACGTTATAATGCTACTGACGGTTACTTCAACAAGACATTAGCCATGGCATAGAACTGCTAACAGCGAGAGGCAAACTTCTCCACTCGCAGGTCTGCACTGTGCAGTTCATCTGGAATGCTGCTGTGCCCAAAAAACTCACCTTGACTTTCTGTTGGTGATGGTAGATCTGCCAGGCGATGTGAACATGCATAGCGCACCACTTTCCAGGTTTCTGGAAAAAAACCAAAGGGATACAACATGAATCAATCTTTCAAAAACTGTGATGCTTTATTCTAGTTATAGTAACTCTTGCCAACTCTTAGCCCAGTCTGTTTTGGTCTGGGGGATTCCTCAAGACAAGACAACCGAAAGCAAAGGGTCCCCTGTCACTGCCTTTCCCCTCCATCCTCTTGGGAATCCAGAAATTCAAAGAATCTGTCCCTTGTTAAGAAGTTTATCTGGATATCCAGGAATGCTCCTGGTCACTCTCCTCTCCAACTCATGCTCGGGTTTTATGCACTCTTGCAACCTTCTGATACCACTGGCTGAGAATGCAGCTTGTGTTGCTGAAATGAAACTGTCTCCCTTTAAAAGATCACTCTGGTTTTCAAAATGAATCTGACTGCCTCAAATAATTGTTGGTTTGTAGTTTGTACCTCCAAATATACTCATAAATATCCTGAAAAAATCGCAGCTAAGTCAATTCACTCTGCTTGGGAAAGCTCTCTGCATCCTTCCTGTCACTGGGCTTCTAAATCATGGGGAAGACAGAGGCAGGAAAGACCCAGAGTGCTATTTGTATTGTTTTCTTGTTGATTTTGTACTCCATTTCCAGGACATCTACAAATCTTGTCTGAAAAACACTCATTCAGGATATACTTTCTCCAATTTTATTATTTAAGGGTCTGTAGTTAACAACACAACTAATGATTCCTGTGGATTTAAAAATAATCACAGGCATTCAAGAAGCTCCTCAAGCTACTGGTGACTTAAATATGTGTTTCACCAACTATGGCACAGAGTCTGCCTTCTATTTCTAGGCATGTATCAACCAACAATTAAAACTACAAAAAAATAAAACCCATCTCACCCACATACTCCCTTAAACTCAAGCCTTTTGCTTATTCACAGCAACTGGTCATGCTAGTGATAATAAGTTCACTTAGTTGGTTTGACCAAAATCCACACCTTCTTGAACATGTTGAAAAATTAACAAAAACCCCTTTTGCATCCCTGAAAGACTGTATCTTTCGATCCTTATTTCTAGAATAGTTTGTATTTGAAGTGGATCATCTGCCTGTACTTTGTAAGATACTTGGGTAGGAAGTACCACACTGAATAACACTGAAGACACACAGTAAATAAAAAGCAAAATCCCTCTGTCTGCACTGAAATAACAAGGGATCACTGCCAGGGTAGGTCTGCAGGATTTGGTTCAGGACACCTGAGAGACAGAAGGATCGTTTATCTTTAACCTCTAGTATTCATGCTAGGGGGTTGCATGAAAAGAACAGAACACTTCCAACTTTGAAACTGTATTTTCCTTGAGTGACCACAAGATGCACACAAAGATGGACTGACCATGCTGCTCAGCAAACACGGTGTCAAGTACCCAAGATGAAACACGGCATCGCTTTATAATTAATCTGCTGCTTTAACCCGGTGGGGACTGAGACGAGCTTGACAAACTGTATCACAAGGAGATTTCTTACCCTCAACATGGGCCTGAACGGATCTGTCAACTGTGAAGAAGAAATGACAGCTTGGTTACATGCCTGTCACTCAAACAATTGCTCTAATTAACAAATTTGTATTGCTTCATTAAGAGATGAAATTAAAATGTTATAATTTTACTTTCAAATGAAGCCCTTTCAGATAATAATTAGTCCTTAGCCTCCGTCTTCGAGCCGGTCTCCCTCCCCCTGTGGCTGCTGTACCTAAATGTTGACAAGCAACTAAACAAGCCTCACACAGAGCGCTCTGTCCTCTGGCATCATCATTAATTTGTTGATTTAATGCTACAAAAATGGCTGGTTAACTACTCTGAAGAAAAACACAGATCTATCCTTTGGGCAAACTTCTGCTCTCATCTTTCAAAGCTGCTCGGCTCGTGAGAAGACTGGAGAGCAGACAGGGCTGCTTTTTCACAGGCCTCATTCCCATGGATTGGGTTGGAATGGGTAGAATATTTTCTTATTCTCATTTTTTTGCTCACATTTCATCAATTAATGCTGGAAAATAAATTCAATTTATTGGGTATTTGGTTTTTCTTTTTTGAAATGCAATATTAAAGGAGATTTATAGGTGTAAGAGGTACTTTGCAGACTCAGTGATGGCGCAATACATCATCTTGAAATAATCAAAACTACACTGCAAGCTGAAAGGGAGCATAAAGCTAAATGCCTTAATGACCTCGTTATCTTTTCAATTAGATGAAATAAACAGAATGAAAAAACATGGTTCCTTTTTGGTATAAAGCTCAACTACAGCACCAAATCAGAGCAAACCAAAGTACCAGAACTTGGCATAACCCAAATGTTAAAAGCTCAGCCATACCACAACATGGATTTTCAAGGAGAGCTCTCCATTGCTTTTGTCAGAAAGTTCTGCTAAAAATATCACTGTATGATGTTCTTCATTGCAAACAACATGTATTAATTTAAACAATGCACGGGCACTTGGAAAGAGCAGAAAAAGGCTGAGAGACAAAGCGCTGAGACAATAAATGCCACTCACATACATCAGAACTCGAAAATCTGGAGGCGCCAAGTGATCAATAAAGTGCATCCGTATTTCACTGGTGCAATCAATGATACAGTAACCAAGGGAATAACTGTCATTACCCACATTAAAAACTATTACAGAGCATAAACGTAAATCTGGGAAGAGGTTTGTACATTTCTATGCTAAATGGGACTTTTATGGGCTTGTGGGGATGCCTGCTGACAGCAAGGGAAGAGCTCTTCCATTGCACAGTTTTTTGTTGATGATGAACACAAGTAAGGATCAGGATTTAAATTCTTCTCCTGCAACTTCTCTAGTTCTCATTGACTTGAGCAGTTCAGACTAAGCTTTAGTTTTAGGAGGTTAGTTTGGACATACTGAAGATGGCAGCTCTAGCATTCAAGGTTTTTAGGAGGAATAAGTTTACTACAGAAAAATGTAGTATTTTCTACAGACCCGTGGATCTTTCTGCAGAAGGGTATGTGGGACAGTTCCAGGTCTGGCTGCAACATCAATAGGATTGGAAGTCTAGAAATATCACAAGGAAAGACAGCATTAATGAGTAAAACAATACATAAAAGACATAGAAAGTGAAAAATAATATTTCTTTATCATTAACGTTGCATAAGCAATGAAGATAAACTTTTTAAAGAGGCAAGGATAACCATCATAATCCACTTATTAATATACATGCTATCATCTCAATTTTCAAACTTTCATTGTCCTCCAACTTCCTATTACTTGAAGTAATGGAAAACATTTGAGAGAACAGAGACAGTTACACTGGAAAATCTTTTTATTTTTGAAAACCTGATTAGCAGCATATGATACAGAATCTGAAGTAGTATCTGGAGGACCAAGGTTGTGTTCTGCTGCTTATCGATAGATAATGCACTAGGACTGGCTAAAACTGCTGCCCTGCCTGTCAGCACACAGAACACCAGAAATCTCTGTAGTCACTGTACAAGGATCTGAACTCCATCCACAGTGAACTATTACCATACGGATATGTGGAAAAGGCAACAGCCAGTTGAAAAAAATTAAAGCTTTTCCCATGATTTTAATGTAAATATTCAGCTCATGTAACAAAACGCATCTTTGTGAAACCCCCCATATTTAGACAGAGCATCTTCCTATGTTAAAATGAAGAAAAATAGAAATCAGCTCCAGTATAACTAACAATTAAGTGACAGAGTTGTTAACAGTCTGATTACCATACATACGATGAATTCCACTAATGAACTGCAATTTACATATTCAGTCATTACAGTGGATGGGCCAATTAAAGAAAGAAGGTGTCTCCTCTGCAGAAATTTCAGTCCTGATGTCAGTCTTTAGTTACAAAGACCACAGACTACAGTATATGATTTCCTCCCACTTAGAAATCAAGAGTGACTTCATGAAAACAGAAGAAGAAAAACCCCGAACTCCTCACATGTATCAATCCCGGCTATCAAAAACGAGAGGAGAACTGAATCAGAGTGTGGCACTGTGGTGGGGCTGTGAGATAACTGTGGGAATGAGTAAACAATAGTGATCATGATTTCTTTAAGTCTTGATTATTACATGACCTTACATTAATGCATATTATCTGAGAACTAATTATATTGCTTTTACATTTAACTATGTCATTATATATAATTTTTTAAAGTATGTAGATATATCTGAACCTAATGAGAAAAAACTTTTCTTGGTAGCACATCTGAAAAAAGACAATTATCCTCCGTGGAATTAGGCTCTCACTCAGATCTCAACTGATGCAGAGTCTGAATCATGTTCTAAATCTAAACCTAACCTGGCCCATGACATGACACGACACCCGTGTATTTGAGTAGTAACAGATACACAAATAATTCCTCTCTTACCTTGGGCTGAAATGCTCCTTGTAGCGAGCCAAAGGGGCCGGTTGGAGGAATCATGGGAGGAATACCTGATACAGCTGGAGGATAGGAGTGAAACAGCTGGAACAAAAAGAGAGAAGAACATAAATAAAAGGGCAGGTCAAAATGAAGACAGGAAGATGAACAAGACACTGAAAGCATTCCTGGGTAATATTAGGAAAATGGGACATGGAGAAAACTGAGAAGCACTGAAGAAGTGATCTCGTTGCAACGATGTTAGTTAAAGCGGTCAATGAAACGTTCACAAATGTCATGACGTTTAGAGCTTAAAAGCAGTTCCAAAATCATAAAGCCAGCAACTTCTCCCCTGGATTAGACTATATAGCATAAAAGAGAGACTTTTTTTTCAATTATTAGTTTTGAAATTGGACAGAGGTTTTAAACCGTTTCGGTTTGTGAGCCATTTCAAGAGAAAAGGCAGAACACTGAGCCAAGTAAGACCCAGAAATCTACCGTTTCAGTGGAAAAAACCCTCACGAGTTCTAGGATATTATATCATTAAAACTCCATTAGTACGTTAGGATTTTAATAGTATCTGTAGGAAATGAGGAAAATACGCAGAATTCTTACTTTATTATCCTGTCTGACAGGATATCCTGCCACATCTAATATTAGCAGAGAGACAATCTGATTTGTTCAAAATTATTATTTAAACAAAACGTTAAGGCAGAACCCTCCAAAAAATTTAGGGTGGTTTTTTGATCGAGACAGACTACTCAGCATAAAAAGGTGCACATCTACACTGACCTCACTGATCCAAATGTATCTGTTCTAACAATTTTTTTTTTTTAAAAAAAGCTCTCCTGTACTAATGCAGATGAACACAAGGGAAACAAGCAAGTCAACAGTAACATCTAAATCTTATCTTGTCTCTGCAGTCCGGCTGTGAGTCTTTTACTCATGCTGTAACATAGTTAATTTGCCCAATTCCAAGGAAAACGCTGAGATTACACACAAAATTGCTTTCTGGTAGGAGTCGGGGGTTCAAAGCATCACACTCCAAACACGTTCTCACTGTGAAAGCTCAGGATCTAACAGGGGATGGTTGCTATCTCCACTGCTCTTGCCACCCACAAACCTAAAGGGGTTCTCTGGCTGATAAAAATGCAGCTCTGAACACAGCTGATCAAAGACCAATCTACTGAAATGCTACTTTTAAGATCAAAATAAATGAGTTAATGGCCAATTGAACAGAAGCAGGACTGGGCAAAGTAAAAGACTGGGCATGCGGAGCGGGCAAACACTGAGGAATTCCCACCCTGGAGTACAGCAGTATTGCAAAGTTCTGATCCATTTGTTTACGCCAGGCTTTGTATGTGCTTTTCTTAATCGTTTTTCCTTCCACTAGCTTATCTTGCAAGGTCATTTATTTGTATTATACTTACTGAGAGCTGAGAAAATATTTCAGTAATTCAGAGGCATCAAAAGATTTTCTCGGTTTAAAAGCATAGTATCAAGTCTCCTTTCGTAACACTTTTCTATTGTTGTTTTTAAATCTATTTAATTTGGACCTGCTCCATTCAATGATGCAGAAAGCATTTTTAGATTAGTTGATACTGAACTGTAGGCATGTGAGAAATCATTAAGAGACACGTCCTCATTTACAATAACTTTTAAATGTGTTTTAAATCCTCCAGTGTCTTCTGCATTTAATTCTGTGTAACGGACTAATTCCAAATGACGGAAAGAGATGTAACACTTAATATTCTATTGGCTGTGACTAATAATAAGGAACGCTTCCCTTAGAGTTTTATAACAACTGTTAAGTTAATTAAATGTGACCTTTCCTCCAGGTCAGAATTATTAATAAAATATAAATATTCTATCTCCAGGATCTCTGTATTTCAGTTAAATTCCTCCAGCTTTCAAAATAAAACTTTCATAGTGTTTCCTTTTTTCTTACTCTCTTTGGAGCAACATTTTCCCCTTCTAGCTTTCTTAGGGAACATTGTAGGACCCACAGCTTTCCTGGGGCCAGGTACAATCTAACACTAAACCAGACCCAGCGTTAACTGTAGGTAAAAGCAATGCCTCACTGTGCTACAGCAAGGCCCCCCCAAGAAAGAAATGACTGTAAAATCAAAGATGTCAAGGAAGAAAATAGTTTTAAATCTCTAGGTGAGAATCTCTATTTTGAAGTAGATTGATTTTAACTCTCAAACAGACCTTGTTCTCCTACAAAGTTCACTTACAAGCTTTAAAAACACTGCCAGCTTTTTTAAAGATATCTGACTTCTTGGTGTGGATCTATAGAGGAAGAAAACCTTGTGACTAGGAAAAGGTCCATGGCAGGCCCACAGTTTCACAATATTTCTACCATAGGAGAAGCCCTCTCAGGTACGCGTTATGCCAGCAGAAGTAATGCTTTTTGATAGTGCAGCTGCTCAGGAAACTGATGCCAGCTGTTGGTGTTCCCTGTATCACCTGTAATCAGAGCAGAAGAGATTACTGACATGCCCTGGTTGGGGTGGCCTTGCTGACTGTTAATCCAACATAACTTGTAGCCATCACGTTGATCTTCTGGTATTAGTTTGCTTGACAGACGCAACCGTGATGATTTTGCAACCACTTCACAAGGCCAAACCTTTCCTGAAGGGAAGGCAGGGGAGGTTTAATGCACCAGCTCTCTGGTGGTGGAGCTCAATTGCACAGCTATTGGCTACCAGAGAACAACGTGAAGCTTTTCCTTACCTTACAGGGGGTAATACCATGACCTTTACAATTCAGGTAACTGCCAGATTTATAAGAGATTATGTCACTGAGTTTGAAAAGCAGATACAGTCAGAGACTTCTGCAATGTTTCCTGTGTTATAAGTCAACTTCTGTGCTTTATTTGTCTAAAATTCATTTACCTATTTCCCAGTTCCATGTTCTTGCTTGAATCAACAAGCCACATTGATGATAATACATCTTTTGACTCCACGTAAAGCTCAGCAAATACGAGTGCAGTTTTGCAGAGAGCGATGCAAATGAGCAGCGTTACCCTTCTGAGTAATAGCAGTTATCGTAGGCTTAGATGTTTGCCTAATCCTCCTGGAGCTCTGATCCTGCCAACGCTCTCATACAGCTACAGGTACTCAAATGAGGTGTCAGAAAATGAACAGGACTGTTCCCGTGTACAACAGGCACGAGTCGTTAGCAGGAACCGTGTTTAATCAGTACAGCAGAAGCATCACATTATCATCTTAACCAGTTTTTTTTGCCCAGTTCCACTTCTAAGCAAAACCAACACATAAAGCCAAGTGCTTTGCAAATTTCTGAATGCTGATGCAGTACTCCTTCTCTCATCAAAATATCACTATTGGATTTAGAAATTCTTGTCATATTCAACCAGATACCTGCCTCTGCCAATGTGATGAAGGAAATACAACCTGTATTTCAGCAGCAAATGAATCAGTAGATCACTTAAGATCAGAAGCTTTACAATTATCTGGAATATTAAAAATGAGTTTGTCTCTATCAACATTTTTGGTAGCTCTTAGATAAACACATCTAGTGCACAGCAGGATTCATGTTGCTGTCATCAAACAGAGCTTTCAAAACGTAACAAGCCCAGGGGATCAGATGTGCCTTTGAAATCTGAAGAATAAGACAAGTTTTCAGATTGTATAAAACAAAATATGATATATTAGGAAAACTATTAGATTACCTATCCCTGAAGGATTTGTATGATAGTTTGTCATTTCATTTCAAGTTTCTTAGAAAAAAATATCAGTCTAAGGGTTTGTGGCACAACTGAAACACAGTGATGAAATTACTGCTCTCTCCTACTTCATGCAACAGTCAGCTCTTCTGTCTCATCTTTTTCACATCAAGCCTGTCTAAAATGGTGTTTGAGCAAGAGATCTTTTGATTGGAAAAGCTGATACTGCATCTTGATCAGAAACAAGCACCACGAATGCAAGCCTTCAAAAGCCAAAGCAACCAAGAACGATAATGGTAAATCCTGGAGTGATGATTAGGGAGAGATTCGACACTGTGCCACTGATTGAGTGGTGATCCCAACCCACCACAGAAAAGCAGTGAAATCAGTTTTAAACAGAGTAATGAAACTCACACTGTGACGGTAGAAGGGGTCAACTTTTGTAGGGTATTTGTCAAACTGCAAAGGGATCAAAGCACAAACTAGTTACTTTATATTTCCTTGCTTTACTTCTGTTGGTAAAATAAGACTAATACTCTATAATTTTGCAACCAACAGAGAGGGAAAAAATACACAGAAAATTAATTTCCAATGCATCTGTTTGGGATTCTTCTGTCTTCAAAGTGAAACAAGGTATTTACGAGACAGGACAAAGGAAGAGGCACCAGAGTGCACCACTCCAAGCACTGTGAAGTCCCAAGCACGAGTGCTCCTTCCACCAGCAGCCTCGTCCCTCAGCCCCTGTACTGACGCCTGAACCTACAGCACATGTGACAATCGCGAGGAAGGGACAGTCCTTCCTCTCCTACCCAACCACAGAGTTCTCCTTCCCCACAACCTGGCCAATTCTTATATTTTTGTAACAAAGAATAGAGTTGTGCTCTACTTATCCTCACATTTCTGCCTGGGGTACGCACCATGGGCGGTGCTGGCGTTGGCATGATGGCAGTGGGTGGGATGGCGTGAGGGAAAGGCGTGAAGGTGTGCTGGTGTGTGTGTTGGTGTGTGTGCTGATGCTGGTGCTGGTGCTGGTGGAACTCGGTCCTCAGGTACGGCGGCGGGCCCAGGGAGGCCCCACGATCTGCGCTCTGCGAGGCCAAAAATCGCGTGTTTAGTTCCTGACGGAGAAGATCTTGTTCTGAAATACAAACAGCAAAACAACCCCCTGTGAGCTCAGGGACTTTTCCAGACCTTGTGCAACTTACTTTTTGCTGCCTGTGGTAGCAATGCTATATTTAAAACTTCCTGGTGGTAAATCACGACACTCTACGGGGTAAGAAAGCTCCCTCAGATCTTCCCCAGAGGCCTGAGAGACAGAAGAAAGTCTCCATTTCCCCTTTCTCACCAAGCCTGTCTTCACTACAGCATTTCTCTGAGCATTAACCTAAGGGTTCTCCTAAAATTTGTATGGACATGGGCACAGTCCTAAATGGATGAGGAGGAGGTACAGGGAACCTGGAGTGAGTAAACGTCAAGTGACTGCTGCTAACATGAGTACCCCACTGCATGGACACACAACGATGTTACTCATCCGCTGATAATCCCCCATTTTC